CACAGCTCTCACCACACCAGGGAGAGACATGAAATTCAAGGGAAACCAACAAAAGAAACTAACGATGGTACAAAATGCCCCTCCCAAGTCAACAAGCGCCAAAACTTTTAATGGTGATTGAGGACATACCTGTATACGGCTAATCCTGAATCCACAAGTACCCAATCCAGTGCGAAGTCAACGCAACGTAGAAAAGGTGACAGCCGACGAAGTACCGAATGCGCAACAGGTAAGTAGATGTGTGGACGCACTTCCAAAAGGCTGAAATTTTCTCTAATGCTATTTCATATGATGACTGCCTTATAACTCCTGAAGTTCCAAAGATAGTTCGTGACAGGTCGATATTGTTCATAATCAGCCGGGCGTATAGCTAATAGGCTGCCAATAAGGGCACATCCCGCGATATCTGAATGGGCGGAGACAGACATTCACTTCATTGAAGCGCTCCTGAGGCGAGACACGCCGATGAGGTGGTGCTCTGCCTCCGCCCATACGATCAAGGCGGAATGCGCTTTCAAGCACAAGGAAAATAAACCCACCGATTGAATTCTGTTTTGCCGAGAATCGCCACAGTAGCTCTACTATTCGCGGTCACGGTGTAGAATGAAGGCTCACATGTGAGTATATGAAGGCCTCCTACCAAGTCTCTAGGGAGCAGCTTAGATATTGTATTATCATCTTCTTCTTGTGGCTCTTCTTCAAACACTGGTTCCTGCAATCAGAAGCGCTATGTCTTTTTCACAAGTGCATATAAAGTAAACGAAAGTATTCTAATACTGGTCGAATATTTCAACCAGGGCACGTTTGGCCGTTAGGAAAAAGTTTTGCAAAATGCATCCCCTCCCTCGAAATTTCTTGCTCTCTCTCTCCCTCCTACCTACAATTTCCCAATTCTCTACCACTACTCTACAGTTTTTTTCCCCCCACAATTCTCTATTCCCCAGCCAAAAAAAAACAGGAAAAATCGAGAAAAGTCAACAACCGAAAACATTTATCACAGAGACAAATGTGACCGTCCCTCTCTCCAGCAACTGAATACGCCCCCCCCCTCTCCACCTGAGCATCCCCAACGTACGACGTGCCCCGACTGCAACTAAGCAGACTAACCTGAACAAGCTTCAGAGAGCCCGACAACACCAGTATGAGTTGCTCCTCTTCGGCGCCCTGTTCAACCAGTACATCCCCTCTTCAGCTGTGCTGAAGAATATAATATCGCGCCTAAAATAGACCTCTGAACGCAGACATATCTACTGTTCGCGTAGTTCAATTCCTCACCTTCTGCTCTATCAATGATGGTCCATCAGGTCCCAACAATCCCAATGCGTCCGCAAACCACCGTCGAGCAACGACCAGCCTGTTCAGTTAGTTACTGAATTCCTCATCTTTGAAACATAAAAAAATGCTCAAGAGATTTCCAGCAACTAGCGCCACTGAATCCCAACCAGGAGGAGAAGAATGACTATGACGAAGACGACGGCTGCCCACCAATATGGCAGATAAATTTCTACTCCTTAAAGACATACAATCACGCTCACCCACACATTGAGGTGTTGAACTCCGTGACTATCACCCCAGCATGTTCGCTAGCCGAGTCGTTTGCAAGGACCTATCATGGCGCAGGGAACTCGAGATACAAGGACACGTGAAACACTTTATCTTCCTTCATCCTCCGCCCATTTATGCTACACAACGTTCCGCGCGGCGCTGTCGCGCGGCGGCTCTCTAGGCTTGCCAATTCCTGTAATTGCGCTTTGGAATACAAGCGAAAGCGATTCCCTGATGCGAATAACATTTTAGGTGCTGCAAAATGAGAACCGAAGATGATGACGAGGGCCAGAATTCAAAGCAACTAGTAGCTGACATTCTAGCAGATCCCTCAGAACCGCACGTCATGCCCACAAAAACATGACAAATAAACAGGCCTAAAGCGTTCCACTCGTTAGTTTCAGTACAAGAAAAACGCAATTTCCTATATAGATTTTGAGCGTGTTGCTCATGGCTTCCAAGTCTGGTAGAAACGTGATGAAGATGACAAGAGGCCTAGAAATGAAGGAACAACGAATGTAGATGTAAATAAAACAAAAATGAAAAAATTCAAGGAAACGCAAATTAATTGAAATTTCTGCAATCCGGCGCGAATTCGGCCCAAAATCATAGAGTCCCAAACTGCAGATGGGACACTTGGCCGTTTTTATTTCATGTTTTTTGGCATGCCGCGCTTCTGAGGGATATCTGACAGAAGGTAGCACAGTTATCTCTTGAGTTCTGGCCCTCGTCATCATCTTCGGTTCTTATTTTGCAGCACCTAAAATGTTATCCGCATCAGGAAATTGCGTTTTACTTGTATTCCAAAGCGCAATTACAGGACTTCTTCAAAAAGCCAAAAGAACGCGCGCGACCACCGAACGTTTAGCATAAACCAATAGGAGCGGAGTATAGAAAGAATTAGCGATTTTCACGCGTCCTAGCATCTCCATTCCTCGCGCACTGTAAGGGACCGGGAAACCGCTTAACGCTGCCGACAGCTTGGGGGGGGGGGGCGATGATACAGTCAAACACCCCACAAGTGTGTGTGTGTGTGTGTGTGTGTGTGTGTGTGTGTGTGTGTGTGTGTGTGTGTGTGTGTGTGTGTGTGTGTGTGTGTGTGTGTGTGTGTGTGTGTGTGTGTGTGTGTGTGTGTGTGTGTGTGTGTGTGTGTGTGTGTGTGTGTGTGTGTGTGTGTGTGTGTGTGTGTGTGTGTGTGTGTGTGTGTGTGTGTGTGTGTGTGTGTGTGTGTGTGTGTGTGTGTGTGTGTGTGTGTGTGTGTGTGTGTGTGTGTGTGTGTGTGTGTGTGTGTGTGTGTGTGTGTGTGTGTGTGTGTGTGTGTGTGTGTGTGTGTGTGTGTGTGTGTGTGTGTGTGTGTGTGTGTGTGTGTGTGTGTGTGTGTGTGTGTGTGTGTGTGTGTGTGTGTGTGTGCGTACTATGTATCTTTAAATTGTTGCGTATGCCTAGTCGCATTGAAAATCCCGAGCGCTCCCCATCAACAAGCCTTCCACTACGCCGGGCAGCCAGACTGGTACCAAATCCGTTTTATAACAAAAACGCTGTGTTGCAGAAGCCTGCACTTTCCAGAGGAACCTGATCCCAGAAGGAATTGACTAATACCGAAACTTCCATCCTTTATGGATTTCCTAAGTCCTGAAAATGTGTTATAACAAAGAATGTTGTAAGTAAACGTGGTCGGGTGCGCTGAACGTCGCACAGGGAAATTGAGCCCTCCCATCGGAAGGATATATGCCAGGACAATCGTAACGCGCTGCGCTGAAGGGAGTCGCGTGCGACGTCGTACCTGCGAATGAGGATATTTCTAGATCTTAGATGGCGACAGTCGACAATGTATAGCCAAAAAGCCATTAATGCCTACGACGTCGTAGTCTACACGAAAACCGGTGCTCAGTCGACAGGGAATTAAGAAAATGCCGCGCGCATCGCCGCACACGACGGAACGCCAAATTACGTATGTCTTGACCCTCTTCCCAAGCGGATTTATCGCAGCCACAACGCCACCTTCATCAAGTGAACGAAGAGAAAAAAAGAGCAAAAGAAAACAACCAGTGCAGCGAAACCAACCGTCTGAACTGCTCAGGCGGGGTTCCTTGATCTTCTTATGTCCTGTATGCGATGACGTTATTGCTGATTGAGTTGATCGCACTGGACCACTCGTGTGACGTGTGCGATCATCTGGTCCTGCGGCGTCACGTCGCTGAAAATAGCAAATAAGTACAGTTTACCACAAATAACGGTGGTTGGCCAGGGGTGAAAGGAACCATATGTGATTTGGAATGTTCCTTCCAGTGCATTTAGTGACGCCGTTCAACTCAAAGGCAGCTGACACGATAATTTGGTATTCGGCCTAAAATGCTAGCAGGGCGCTATATAGTGGGGAAAATGGCGAAAAAACGGAGTGAAACGGTCAAAATCCTGCGAAGAAAAAGCCTCCGTTCTCAGTGACTTGTAAATCGATTTCGGACGAGTTTCCCGTAGGCATCTTACCAATAACCGCTACCGAAGGTACGGCTGCATATGTGTACTCATATATCCATGCAGCATCACGGCCGCTTCATACCAATCCCTTCGCTTCATAATTTGCTTAGCAAATGAATCAATACGAGCGTCAGGAACGGTCGTCCATTTGTGGGCGGGCGGGCGTGGTGGGCGTGGTCGGTATGTTGTAGCTTGATAGGGTATGCCTTGGAAAAGGCGCTGCGCAGCGCTTTCTTAGGGGTGCGGAATTCCGTCCTGCCAGGCATACTAATCCTGCTCGTCTTTAAGGATTTCTCGTACCAAATGCCTTTAAGGACGAGGCATTTGGCACATTCGCTGGTTTCTTTTGCTAGTTCACATCAACAAGCAGCTTTTGCAAGCTGCGAAATGAAGCGAATGAGTCCCTTTGATTGCAGAAATAGACAAGCCTTCTCATCCGACTCATAAAAGCTTCGCCGTGCACCATCTGCTGCTCCCCCCCCTAAGCCGAATTGTGCGCGAAGTTATTGCTGCGACAGAGTTCTCAGAACGATTCCCATATCCCCCTTGAGTCGGTTTGCATCATCAAAATCTAATTTTATTGCCTGAATGACAAATTCCACTCACCCTCTTCATCAGTTCTTGACTTAGACCCATATACTGATGTAATGTAGTCATTGTTACGTGAAGTAATCGTGTGAGAACAATCTGGATCGGTCTCATCCATGCCTCAGGATTCTTGTTGTACGAGTCGCGAAAGCTCTTGATTGGGAACCTGAAACATCACTCCTAGTTAGTTCTCTCATTCATAAGGTGGTGTAGTGGCAAGTGGCTCCATTCACGCACACGGTGCGGAGGTCGAATGCTGCTTAGGTCGACTCCCACCGGACCAACTGAGTATTCCAATCTCCCAGGGTCGGTTAATTGGTACTGTACCCGTCTGGGATGATACCGTCGGTGTCCTGTCTGACTTTCGCAAGCCCTTGTACAAGTGAAATCGCATTCAGCAAGCCATTACGGCTTCAAGTTAAGGTAGAAGGCGTGGCGCACACCGAAATGGATTGTTCAGCAGCGAAATTAACTTAGAAACATCGCTGTAAATTTAGCAATACTCATCTCGCTTTCCCTGTCTTAGAGAATAGACGTTTGGCACAGAACGCTGGGTAGAAGTTTTTTTTAGAGAAATTCGCAGTCTCGGTAAGGGAGTCTCTTCCCTTTCATTCTAATCACATCTACAAAACATTGGGAGCTAGGAAGTCATATTACCATTTTAACATCGTTTTCGGAGCTTTTTCTCACACAGCTGGTGTTCGCGGCGTACAAAATGGACACTAAACCGAAATCTTTATACAGCCTTCTGAGAACTATAAGATTGCTTTTTCAACTGTACACTGTCAGCTCTTTCGCGAAAAGAATTTATTTATATAGCCAGTGTGAAAACTTAAGAACAAATCTGCCGGAAAACAAAAATCCAAAAGAGGGCGGCGATTAGACATACCGAGCAGACCTTGCTTGAACATATGCTATGCTTCCACTTCAACGGATCCTGGACTTTGACATGTGCGAGGTGCACGGGTTCGCAGCTCTAGAAGAACCCCTCCCCCCGCATTGAGCTGGATCTCATTTAGGGCTGCACTAGTAGGCAAGCACGCAGCACGTAACATACCACATTACCAGTTATAGAACTATCCAACCCAATGGCGGTTCTTGTCTACGCCTCTCTCGTTTGGTCAAGGAGCTGCTACTCTCCAGTCACTCTCGACAGACAGCTTGCTGATCACGTTGTTCGCTGCGGGACCACGGCATCGACGCACATGCTGCACGTTATGGACGGATGGTGGAGACCCGAACGACAACCACCTGTCACTAAACTACTGCCTCATTTCCGCATCCTGTTGAACGACGGAAGCGGCCTTCTTGTACAGCTAAGACCTGCCCACCTCCCGTATGGCACGGGTCCACCTCGCAGGTGAGCTCAAAGCATGTCTTCAAACATTTCGGCATTCCCAGGCGAGGCGAAGAGGTCTCTAACTTCGACAGTATTCCATTTCACTCAACCAGTACTGTTCCATCACGACCTACTCTACAATTGCTTCGAGAACGCAGACGAAGTATGCTGCAATTTTTGCATGCAATTTTTAAGATCGTTCACCAACTATAGTCCCGCTCAGTGCGGACTGGGGCACGGCGCAGCTGCGTTTGGCCTAGGCCAATCCAGAACTCTTTCTCTCTTTTCTTAAGGCAAGCGAAAAGTCTGTATCATATCGTTCGTATCAGTCGTTGTCCACCAGTCGTTGTCATTTACCCTTCCCAGCAACTGGAGAACGGGCTGGCGGCGTGCAAAACGCAGCTGCGCTAAAACGCCCCATCATCCGCAGCGAACACG